AAATTATAATGTTTTTCTCTTTTTAATCCAGAGTGTGACAGATCAAGCTCAGACTTTGGACACCAATCAAGCTGGAGCAGAAGACACTTTGACTAGCTGATATCATAAGTGTGATGAAGATGAGTGTGAAAGACTTTAAACGATAATTATAGTCGTGTTGAATGTTTGCAATGAATTTAATGCTATTTTTGTATCTTTATGGGGTCAGCTGGACTAATCCCCAGTGTTTTGTGTCAGTTTTCTTCATTTGTATTCTCCCTCTTTTAGCCATAGATGGTAAAAGGCACTTAATGAGGCACTACGTTAAAACATCTGCAATTTATGGTTTCATGTCTGTTAAACATATAATCAAAAAATCATGCATGAATGCTTTCTCATTTTTCATGAGGCACTACGTTAAAACATCTGCAATTTATGGTTTCATGTCTGTTAAACATATAATCAAAAAATCATGCATATGCTTTCTCATTTTTAATTTCATCTCAATACTATTACAAGCATCACTATTATCCTCTATTATGAATCGTATCCAGCACTGATAATTTTTTCTGTTTTTAAAGCAGTTGAAATAATAAGGAAGTTGTGTTTGGAGAATCTGCAGTGATTTTGTCTGTTGCTGTAGTGATGAATGTACTGTTTTGTATCGACTATGCTGGTGTAGTCTATATATTTTATCTGTACAGCCACTATAAATCATTGCAAATTCAGATGCAGATATTGTATATTGTCTTTTTAGATGCAAATTGATAATATATCATAAAATTGTGGTATTTTGTTAAAAATGCAAAAACATTGAGTGGACCTTTTGTTGTGGGAAATAAATATATCTCAAAAAATCTGCTGGTTTTCTTGGGTTCATAACATTTTTTAAATTAAAATGACAATTTTGCTGCATGATAACCGGGGTTATTTACACATGTGAAGCATCAGGTAAGGAAGGTAAATTAGTTTTTTTTTTTTTTTTTTTGGTTACAGTATATTTTCCATAAAAATGTCTTTTCCATCAAAATTTTCCCCACACAGTTCCATGTATTTCTGCTGAAGACAAAATGAGTTTGGCCATTAAGCAGGACAAGTCATTTGACGGACAAGAAGGGCTGAGAGTTAAATTCAGGTGTCCAAACGAAGTTAAGTTTGACATTTCAACTATTCCAGGCGAATGAATCAGTCTTATGAGCCAGCTCTTTGTAGTGAATCAAAAACATGCAGTGAGATAACAGTAGTCGATTCCCAAAAGAGTCACTCGTTTGTGAACTGGTTAAAAAACTACAGTTCGACAAGTATAAACCGATTCCCGAACGATTGACTCTTGTGAATTGGTTCTTAAAGTGAATCAAAGACATGTAGGGTTGTTCATTCTCCGAACCAAAATCCCTTTAAGGCATAGGGTATTCTATAGTCTTTGTCCGAACCAATTACTTTTATGAGCCAGTTCTTTACAGTGAATCATAAACACACAGTCTGATTCCTGAACGAATGACTCTAATGAGTCGGTTCTTTACTGTGAATCATAAACATGCATGACGACGAGTACATTCTGATAGCCGAACAAATGACTCCAGCGAGTCGGTTCTTTATAGTGACTCACAGGTCGAGCAGTGTTGTCTGATTCCCGAACAAATGACTCGGTCCGTTCTTTAGACCAAAATCACTGTAGCTACTGACTACTACACATTATGTATAACTAATGTTTTATATAAATAAATTAATACATTTATGATTTTGATGTGTTATATGTTGATGAAAGTATTATTCGGCGACATACTGCATACAATGCTGTACAAATGCTTTATTTATTTATTTCAAACATGTCATTAAAAAATCCCATTGCAACTCGTCCAGTTTCGTCAGCTTAATATTAGACATTTATTTTGAAAGGCAGCCGAACGCTCTTCAGAGCTTTTCTTTTTCTTTTTACCTCATCACTTCCTGCTGTTGCGGCAGCCATATTGGCATGGGGGATAGATGACAATTTCACCTTAGCCGAAGAGCTACATTTTTGTTATTTTTGAAAGTTTATCAAGGGTGTATTCACTCTGAAATAAACGGGATATCAATATTCACCCCAATTTGACCGTGGTCGATCCCGTGGAGGGCGTTGAAAGAGGTGAGACTGAACCATTAAAAATCCTCTTTCAGTGTGTCAGGCTGTGTTTTAAAACCTAGTAAACTATCTACCTAGACAGCATCTGTTGTCATCATAATGTATAACTGAACGTTTAGAACGCGTATATGACGCCCAAAGATGCTGTCTTGATGGGCAGCTCGCTATGTTTTGAAACACACTCCTTGTCTCCGTTTAAGCGCTGTGTTTACTCATGTCGTTGTTGTTTAGTCCTGTTCACATCCGTTTGTCACTGTTATTGTCTTATTTTGGCTACAGTTGCTGACTATTAAGGTGTTATCCGCACAGTAAACATATGCCACCATGTTGTTTTAAATAGCACAACAGTTCTGGTCATTTGCTTGAATGTCTGCCGTTGAATAATCAAATCTACAGTTAAGTGTATTGAGAACACAATGTAAGATTGCTGTACTCTCAGTTCATGATCATACACGGATGTCAAGCTGCTTCCTTATTGACAATCATAACAATATGGTAGTAATTAATATCTGAGTTGTGTTGATGTATTTCAGGCTTTAATATATACTTGTAAATCTTCTGTTTTGCTTATTAGTCACATTTATGAACACTAGGAAGTGTTCAGATTGTATTGTGTAACTCAGAGTGCCATGTGATTTCACAGATGAGCAACAACTTAAACAAGAGGGCCCCAACCACAGCAACACAGCGGTTAAAACAGGATTACCTGCGCATCAAGAAAGATCCAGTCCCGTATATCTGTGCTGAACCTCTGCCCTCCAACATTTTGGAATGGTACATTTGATTTCCCTTAAAGGGGTCATATGATGCTTTTTTAAAGATCGTGAAAGCCCGCAGGTGATGGAGATTTACCGCTGATTACAGAACCGGCTTTCTGACAAGATGCGCATTAAATATCGCATGCGATTTATCGTGCAGCCCTACTCCAAAGAGAAAGGAAAACTTGAAATCGCATCATATGACCCCTTTAAAACATTTCTTATATTATTTTGTTACATACATATACACACACTACCACAATGATTAACACTTCTTAATGTTTTTGAAAGAACTCTCTTATGCTCACCAAGGCTCTATTTATTTAATAGAAAAATACAGTAAAAATAGTAATTTTGTGAAATAGTTTTACAATTTAAAACAACTGTTTTCAGTTCTAATATATTTTAAAATCTGATTAATTTTCATATATATATATTTTTTTTCTTAATATTTTCGTCGAAACTGTGATACACTACCATTCTTTAAAGAAGAAAAATTAATACGTTTATTCTGCAAGGACACGTTAAATTGACCCTACGTGTCAATAAAGATATTTATGTTACAAAAGATTTCTATTTCAAATAAATGCTGTTCTTTTGAACTTTCTATTCACCAAAGAATGTATCATGGTTTCCACAAAAATAATAAGCAGCAAAAAACTGATGATAATGAGAACTGCTGATAATAATAAGAACCGTTATTAATATTTGAGCACTAATAATTAGTTGGTAATAATTAAGTACCAAATCAGAATATTACAATACTTTTGTTTAAATCAAGTAAATGCAGCCTTGGTCAGCAAGAGAGACCTATTTAAAAAACATTAAAAAAAATCTTAATTATTCCAAGAATTTGACCAGTAGTATATTAGTGTAGTGCTTTATTTGACATGACTTATTGTTTAAGTTTGGAACTTCATCAAGAGCTTTATCTTAATCCTTCATTTTTTTATAATCAATTTCATGATTTATATTCTATTTAGCAGATGATTGTTTGTTAGCAGAATGTTCACTCTGCTTCCATTCAATGAAAGTGAATAGAGAATAATGCTGTCACAAGCTCCCAAAACATTACAAAAGCGCCATGAAAGTGGTCTATAATGACTCAGACAATACATTCCTAGTCTTGAAGCAGAATGATGCCTTTATGTGAGGATTTGGGCTAATCCATTCAATGAAAGTGAATAGAGAATAATGCTGTCACAAGCTCCCAAAACATTACAAAAGCGCCATGAAAGTGGTCTATAATGACTCAGACGATACATTCCTAGTCTTCTGAAGCAGAATGATGCCTTTATGTGAGGATTTGGGCTAATGTTAATATATAAAGTGCACTATTTGTATGGACTACTTTGATGGTGCTTATTTTTCCTTTTTGGAACTTGACTGCCCATTGACAGTCACTATATGCTTTTGTTGTATGTAAAAAGTTAAAAATTCTCAAAAACGTCTGACAGGACTTTTATCACCTAGAATAATCTACATTAACGACTTTATATGATTAGATACTACCACATCCCTGGCTTGCTTTCTCTTTCAGGCATTATCTAGTACGTGGCCCTGAGAAAACTCCATATGAAGGTTATTTCCTCCGTTAATTTCACATTAGTACTTCCTTTTGTACATTGTGCAGTTTCTGCTTCATTTTGACTTGTCTTCTGTATTTCATAGGTGGCTTCTATCATGGCAAACTCATTTTCCCACGGGAATTTCCGTTCAAACCACCAAGCATATACATGATCACACCCAACGGCAGATTTAAATGTAATACAAGGTACACAAGCTCAGACTTTCACTTCATTTTTTTAAGATCTTTATTTAAGCGCAAAGGTATGTAAGCATTGTTATTTTAAGCATAGTTACAGCTACAGGTCATTGTTAGGCATGACATTGCCATCAGTGCCTTACTGCTTTTATGAAATGTTTACCATGTAATAAAAATCTTTCATTGGAACATCCATCTGCTGCTACATGTAAACTAAGTTTGGCCTCTATTATTTGACTTCATAGTTGTTACTGTGAGTTTTTGCTCAGTTGGAACACTGAATTGACGAATCAGCATCTACATCGGTTTCTTTAAGTCTCAAACATTCAGCTTAGAAGAACAATACTGTTCACAATTCCTGTATAATGAGTTGCTTTCTCTTTCTCTTTCAGGTTGTGTCTTTCAATCACAGATTTTCACCCTGACACGTGGAACCCCGCGTGGTCCGTATCCACCATCTTAACCGGCCTCCTGAGCTTCATGGTTGAAAAAGGCCCGACTCTCGGCAGTATCGAAACGTCTGACTTCACAGTGAGTGTCACGCTGATTTAAAATCACAGTCAGATGCTTTAAGAGACTTTAAGAGACATACACACCAGTAGGGTTGGGTACCGTTCACATTTTAACCGGTACGGTATCGGTACCTGAATTTCGGTGCTGGTACCCAACGGTACCTTTTTTCGGTACTTTACTCTCTAGCAGCTCTGGAGATTAAGTTTTTGTGTTCATGCCGTCATATAGTGAGACGCAGAGGCCGAAAATCACCGCGAGCATCACGCGTACTTCAGTATTTGTGTAGTAAACAAAACCGTGTTTCCGCCATTCATATACAGAGGCAAGCGGAACATGCAGGATTCATATTTAAACCGTCTTTTTGCATTTTAATATTCACAGACACTAGTTCATATCGCGATTCGAATTAAGTGGCAGTGACTACTTTTGATTTACTCATCCAAAATTGACAAATTCCGTGACATTCCGCGCTTTAGAATAAATTACGTTTTTATGAATGGACTCCGTGATCCCGTCCGCGTTTTCGCAGAAACCATATGGCCCTAGAAATGTAACCACACTTCACAACATATCGGCTTGCCCTGTGTGTTGTTTGAACGAGTTACAGGGGTGACATCATGTCACAGAGTCTCTCTTTCTCTCTCTGTAGCGTATGCGCCCAGATGCGTTCTCAGATTTTGCACCGATTGATTTAGCGTAAATCGGTACTCGGTAGTACCGACGCAATTCGGTCGGTACCCTTACAAGTACCAAGTTCGGTACCCAACCCTACTTCTGTGTCAGTCTCTGCCACTCATTGACAAGAGGACCACGACGCGTGTGGTGCTGCTGACACAGGAGCCGGCGTTCTGACGTGGAGCGTTCATCTCTCAATATTTAATTTCTCTTAGTTGTTTTCTTTGCACACAAAAAGTATTTTTGGAGCTTCATAAAATTACAGTTGAACTGATTTAACGTGAATCGGTACTCGGTAGTACCGACGCAATTCGGTCGGTACCCTTAAAAGTACCGAGTTTCGGTACCCAACCCTACACACCAGTGCCATTTTTTTTATTTTATTAAAGGGGTCCTATTATGCTCTTTTACAAAGTCTTGATTTTGTTTTGGGGGTGTACTAGAACATGCC